CAGAATGTCATGTATCTGCTTATGGGACCTGTAACCTCTATACAGTGCTTCAACAAAGAGATGCTTAACAGTATGGAGCCAGCTACAGAAGGAATCAGGGCTCATTTATCAACATTGCTCCTATGGTTTTGATAAAGGAGTCAGGCTGTTGGCTATCATCCTTATCCTGACTTTAATATCTACTGTGACACAAAACTGGAACTAGTATCCTGAGCAAAAAACTGACTTTTCAGCTTTTGCTGGTTGCTTGCTTGTTCCAGGTCAGTAACTAGGTAGCGAAGTTCTGGGCAGCACAGTGGCTAAGTAGTTAGCACTTCTGCCTGGCAGTACTAGGGTCGCCGGTTCAAATCCCAACCATGGCACCACCTGCCTGAAGTTTGCATGTTCTCTCTGTGCCTGTGTGGGTTTCCTCTGGGTACTCTGGTTTCCTCCTACACTCCAAAGGCATGCTGGTAGGTTAATTGGCTCCTGTCTAAATTGGCCCTAGTATGTGTATGTATGAATGTGAGTTAGGGACCTTAGATTGTACACCCCTTGAGGGTTAGGGACCGATGTGAATGTACAATATATATGTAAAAGCGCTGCGTAAATTGATGGTGCTATATAAGTACCTGAAATAAATAAATAAAGAGAGGAACTGAATGAAAGCACCGGTGCTTGCATTTTTCCAGCGGTTCTATGGCCAATGCAAAGGGACCTGGAGAGAGCAGGAAGCCCCTGCTCGTACCTCTGTGGAGTGTAAAAGGGGCTGAGAGTACATTGTTGGAGAAAACCCTAGCCATAGGAGCAGAGTGCAAGAACCAAATCCATGTAATAAATTTTGGACCAAATTCAAATATAGACAGGGTCACCCAGAGGTATGTCCACGTGGAAGAAAAATATATTTTAAATATATTTTAAAAATATTCTTCCCAAATATATTGACATATATTTGAAATACTACAATTTTGGCCGTATTCAATATATTTCAATATATATATAAACTGTATGTTGAAATTCATTTTTTATATATTACAAAAATATCTGAAAAATATTTTTAAAAATACATTTTCAAATATGTCTTTGAAAATACATTTAATCTACATTTTTGGAATGCATTTACAAATAGATGTAAAAATATATGTTAAAATGACTTTTTTATATGTTAAAAAAATCTGAAGAATATATTTAAAAAAATATATTTTTAAAATATATGCCTTCAGAAAATATATTTAAATTTACATTTTTTAGAATACATGTTAAAATACATTAGCGTAGGCCAATGTATTGTAAAAATATGTCACATATATAATTTTTTTTCTAACTATATTGGAAAGATATTTCTCTTCCATGTGGGTGGCCACTCCACCGAGTCGAAAGCTTTCTTGGCGTCTAGAGAAGCAACACCTCTAATGCCAATGTTATCATGTTCAGTGTAAAGAGTCTACGAAAGTTGATGTCAGTGCCCCTACTTGGGATAAACCCCAACTGGTTTTTGTGAATCAACTCATTAATAACAGAGTTGAATCTACAAGCCAGGACTTTCGCCAAACGTTTTACGGCGATTGTATTTTTTAAACAGTCAACTCTGGTGCCTTCCATAAGTCTGTCCAATGGTTTGCTTTAAACAAAATAGGTATTAAAAAGTATTATTAGTTGATACAAAATTATATGTTTTGTGTTTAAAAAAAAATAGATATACATGTTCACAACCAAAAACGGCAGAGCCGAAGTGAAAGAAGCAGCTGCTGGAGGAACGCTTGAACATAGAGGTAAACAGCCTCAGGTCTTCAAACAGGTTTAACCGGTGAGAAAATAAAGTGAGGAGCTGAAAGAGGGTGAGGCAAATAATACCAGTGTACTTGTGTGACATGCATGTACATGTGTGAGTAGAGGCGCAACTCAACCCTGAGCACATCTGCAGCCGACACAGCTGTCTGCCCACCACACAACCAACCTCATTCATCAAACTGTCTGACACAAGGACTAATACTGCCGTCCATAGCAGCCACACACTCACTCCCTTTCTACACTTTAAAGTGTATCTCAGAGCCAAAGGAAGAGAATAGCATAAGCAGTACATCTTTGAAATACATTTACATTTTCCTGGTGCTATTTCACTTTAAAAAGTTGCAAATATAAAAAACTGTTCTTGATCCTGCCAGAAATCCAGCATGCTTGTATCTAACTGCAGATGGCTGACAAACCTGTCTCTGCTGCACTGAAATTCTGAAGTTCTAAAAAGTGTTGTCAGCTCCGACTGAGTTCTTTCCCGTTGAACTACAGCCCCCACCCTCAAAGAACTAGGGCCCTTGGTTTAAATCCCAACCAGAACACTACCTGAATGGAGTTTGCTCCATATTCCCCCTGTACTTGTGTGGATTTATTTATTATTATATAGGATTTATATAGCGCCAACAGTTTGCTCAGCGCTTTACAATATAACAGGAGACAATACAGCAACAATACAGCTCAATACAAGAGAGAAAGGAGGGCCCTGCTCCTTGGGGCTTACAATCTAAGATTTACAAAGAACAAGGCAGAGGGAGGTGTTTCGTAGTCCAGCAGAGAAGATAAAGGAAGGGCTGACTATACTGCTTGAGATTTCAGTGCAGCAGAGGCACTATTGCCATCTTACTACATAAAGGTTGGAGCTCACCAGATTTCTGTCAGGATTGGTAAGTATTCTTTGTACCTGCAGCAAACGAAAAGAGCCAAAACATTGGAGCAATGTACATGTACTGCAGAAATGTGCTGCATATTGTTCCATATTTCAACCAACTATACACTTTAAGGGCTCCTAACGTGTGGTTGAGGGGCAGTAAAAACCCTTGGTTGAGCCTTGCTTTTACAGCTCCTCAACTGCAACCCTCTTTAGCTGCAGAGGCAGCAGCAAGGGGTTTACACCTGCAGCAAAGCATCATAGCCGTATGAAGAATTATACCCCCTGCTGCTTTCTGCAGGAGTAGCACCTGCCGAAAGTGACCAATTCAAGTGAATGGGGTTGCTCTGCAAGTGCCCCCCAACCACGTGCAATGCACATGGCTGCACCATGCTAATACGGGGATCAAGAGGTTAAAGTAGGTGGCGAGGAGGCAATACAACACCACCTCACTGTCTGGGTAATGTTCTCTGAAGAGTTATCTGAACTTAGATCACTCTTCAGAGAACACCACACACATGAATGAGCTTTAAAGAAATCATGAATGTGGTGGGATGCAGTGTGCTACAAGAACATTTCCCCCATGGTCCTCTGATAAAGACCATATGACATGCTATAGTGCAGTTGTGTAATAACATGACAGAGCATGTGTTACAAAAACCGCCTTAGCTAGATTCAAACCAGAGTAATGTAGGTTGGAGAATTTTATCCAACTCCTCATTGCTCTTTTTCTGACAGCTCTTAAATAACAATATGGCAACATACAATTTACAGGGAGATTCCCTGACATGAAATAAATACGTGTTGCTTTAACCACTTCCCGTCCGTCCTATAGCAGTAATACTGCTACACGGCGGCACAGGTGCACAAAATCACGTATATATATGTGATTTCACATTTCCGGATAGGGGGCACGCGCGAGCAGTGCGCTATTCGCAGCCTCAGCTGTCAGTCCCCGGGTCCCGGCTGGTGATTACTCGCCGGCACCTGGTAATCATCTCCCCTGTCAGCTCCTGCACACTGCTATGTAGAGCCATGCAAAGCAGTGTGCTTACAGCGAAGCACACACACACAGCACACAGTAAAACAGCACACAGTTAACCCTTTGATCGCCCCACATGTTAACCCCTTCCTGCTCAGTGCCATAAGTACAGTGTCAGTGCTTTTTATTAGCACTGATCACTGTATTGGTGTCATTGGGCATGTCAGTGACACCAAGTCAGTTCCCCCCAGTGTCAGAATGCCCGCCGCAGTCCCGCTATAAGTCACTGATCGCCGCCATTACTAGTAAAAAAAAAAAAAATATATATATCGCCATATGTAAACAATATAACTTCCACGTAAACCAATTCATTTACATATATTGGGACTTTTTTTTAGCAAAGACATATAGCAGAATACATTTTGGCCTAAATTTATGACAATATTAGATTTTTTAAATTTTTAGAAGTCAGATACTGTTTTTTTTCTCAAAATTGTTGGCCTTTTTTTTATAGCGCAAAAAATTAAAACCGCACAAGCGATCAAATACCACAGAAAGAAAGCTCTATTCGTGGGAAAAAAAAGGATGTAAATTTCATTTGGGTGCAGCGTTGCATGATTGTGTAACTGTCAGTTAAAGTGACGCAGTGCCGTAACACAAAAAATAGTCTGGTCAGGAATGGAGGTAAATCCTCTGGAGGGTAAGTGGTTAAAAAAGTATCTTTTTGGAATTGGGAAGGGCTCATAGACACAGAAGTCACTGAAAATAGCATGGCACAAGAGAAAGGGAAGCTGAAAGAGCTACATTTCAGCAGAGGTTCATTTCACAGTGACAGAGGGAATCTCACACTAAGCTAGGAGGGTGGTGCTACAAGCTGGAGTAAAAGCACATATCGATGCGTCTTTCAACACTTTTTTTTGATCGTCAGCTCTTTATATGGAAACTGTCTGCTTCTCTGACAGGGATCAGACAAGCCTGGGCACACCTAGTCGCACACATTTACAGACACATAGGATTCCCATTTAAGAACAAGCGCAGGTGAATCATAGTTATTATTCACGTTCATCTGTGTACCCTCAGGGTGCGGGGCATGTTCATCCTCTCCGAGACCACAGTGCCACACCTAACATCCTCATTTATGCCCACATTCTTCCTTGTGCAGCAACAAAAGGGTCATTAGAAAACCTGCACCACTGGGCTCATGTGAACCCTGGGTGGAATAGAGAAGCGCTCTCTGTTTCTCCATAGCTACTTTCTCTGACATCCAGGGGCGGACTGACAACTCATGGGGCCCCCCCCCCGGGCAATAGGGGATCATGGGGCCCCTGTGTCCTTGCCCAAGCTCAAAAAAGCCTATGAGAAAGGTACCAGGGGCATCTCATGGGGCCCCCTACTGACCCTGGGCCCTCAGGCAGTGCCCGAGTTTCCAAATGGTCAGTCCGCCCCTGCTGACATCACTTCTGTTTGACATCAAATGCACAGAGGCTAAGATGGAACAAATATATTCACACACGTTCTATACAATTAGGAAATTCTGACTTAGGAAAAGTATGTCATCCACCTTACCAACCACTCCGCTTCTGCAACCCCCCCCTATCATTCCCTCCACTGGCTCCCGATTGCCCAACGCATTAAATTCAAAATACTAACACTGACATACAAAGCCATTCATAATACTGCCCCAAACTACCTCACCGACCTGATACCCAAATACCGCCCAACACGTACTCTTCACTCCTCACAAGACCTCCTACTCTCTAGTTCCCTGGTCTCCTCCTCCCATGCCCGACTCCAGGACTTCTCCGGGACTTCCCCCATCCTCTGGAACTCTCTACCCCAATCCATCAGACTGTCACCTACCCTCCTCACCTTTAGGCGCACCCTGAAAACCCATCTCTTCAGGGAAGCCTACCCCACCCTCACTTAACAGCTGATCTCCTCCACTCCTCCTACCACTCCATCCCCCACAGCCAATTCCTCCTGTACCACTATCCCCTCCCTCCTAGATTGTAAGCTCCAAGGAGCAGGGCCCTTGAACCCCTCCTGTACTGTTTTGTTACTGTATTGTCTCATGTACTGTCCCCCACTATAATGTAAAGCGCTGAGCAAACCTTTTGGCGCTATATAAATACTGTATAATAATAATAATAAAGAGAAGTATGGGAATGTTTTTTATTATTTAAAAATCATACTTACCTAGGTGAATGCTGCATCTGTCCCCCGCCGACTCCAAGGGTGAGAATTCAGCGATCACATGACCACTGATCGCTGCGTTCTCACCACCACTCTGTGCAGAGAACAGGACTGTCAGTCACCACTGCCTGCCCTGCCAAAGCACCCCCCCCCCCCCCAGTGCTCACTGGAGAGCTGGGCTGTGGAGGGGAGGGAGCCGCTGGCTCAGGCTCTCAGCGGCTTGCTGAGCTAGGTGCCGCTCCAGATTCTGGGGGGTGCAAACCGACTTTGAGGACCAGTTCACACTATATAAACGCATTTCAGATGCGTTTCCGCATGTACATTTTTTCTGAGTTTTTGATGTGTTCCAGTGTTTTTTTTTATGCATCCCAGTTCATTTTGTCCCCTCTTTTTTGTCAATATAAATAGTAATATGTGCATTTTTGGTGCGTCTTGGTGCATTTTGGTGCGTTCCGGTGCATTGTTGACGCATTTTACCACGTTCCAGTGCAATTCTGTGCAAGGAAAATGCAGCCTGTTCTACTTTTTTTTTATGTAACTGGAACTGCAAGCACTGATGTGATTTATGACATTGACAACCATATAACCTACTTTATGTGCGTTTTGGATGTAGAACAAAAGCAGCTGAAATGCATGTAGTGTGAACTGGCCCTAAAGCTTTAAAGTCAGGATCTTTTTTATGCATCCCAGTTCATTTTTCCCCTCTTTTTTGTCAATTTAAATAGGGACATGTGCGTTTTTGGTGTGTCTTGTTGCATTTTGGTGCGTTCCAATGCATTTTGTATGCATTTTACCGCTTTCCAGTGCAGTTCTGTGCAAGAAAAATGCAGTCTGTTCTACTTTTTTTTCTGGAACTGCAAGCACTGATGTGATCTATGACATTGCAACCATATAACCTACTTTCTGTGTGTTTTAGATGGAGAACAAAAGCAACTAAAACGCATGTAGTGTGAACTGGCCCAAAGCTTTAAAGTCAGGAACTTTCCCCAGCCTGGACTGGCTGAGTGACATCAGCCAACAGCAGCCTTCAGCCCGTTCTCAGCTGAAAATGGGTCACAGAAACGCAGAATGAACTGCACTCCTGTGATCCACAGAAGAAGTACAGCCAAAAGAGCTTTGGCTCTACTTCTCCTTTAATCACTGTAGCCCATAGCCGAACAAAAACTAACTTGGTGGCTAGCATCTCTGTCTTGCAGCGCTAGGGTCCTTGATTCATGACTACAGTCAGGTTATCACCTGCATGAAGTTTGACAGTTCTCCCTGTGCTTATGTGGGTTTCCTCCCACCTCCAAAGATATGTACAGTATCTGACAGAAGTGAGTCCACCCCTCACATTTTTGTAAATATTTTATTCTATCTTTTCATGTGACAACACTGCAGAAATGACACTTTGCTACAATGTAAAGTAGTGAGTGTACAGCTTGTATAACAGTGTAAATTTGCTGTCCCCTGAACATAACTCAACACACAGCCATTAATGTCTAAAACGCTGGCAACAAAAGTGAGTACACCCCTAAGTGAAAATGTCCAAATTGGGCACAATTAGCCATTTTCCCTCCCCGGTTTCATGTGACACGTTAGCGTCTCAGGTGTGAATGGGGAGCAGGTGTGTTAAATTTGGTGTTATAGCTCTCACTCTCTCATACTGGTCACTGGAAGTTCAACATGGCACCTCATGGAAAAGAACTCTCTGAGGATCTAAACAAAAGAATTTTTGCTCTACATAAAGATGACCTAGGTTATAAGAAGATTGACAAGACCCTGAAACTGAGCTGCAGCACGGTGGCCAAGACCATACAGCGGTTTAACAGGACAGGTTCCCCTCAGAACAGGCCTCGCCATGATCGACCAAAGAAGTTTAGTACACATGCTCAGCGTCATATCCAGAGGTTTGCCTTTGGGAAATAGACGTATGAGTGCTGCCAGCATTGCCCCAGAGGTTGAAGGGGTGGGGGGGGGTCAGCCTGTCAGTGCTCAGACCATACGCCGCACACTGCATCAAATTGGTCTGCATGGCTGTCATCCCAGAAGGAAGCCTCTTCTAAAGATGATGCACAAGAATGCCAACAGTTTGCTGAAGACAAGCAGACTAAGGACAGGTGATGGACTGGCCAAGCATGTCTCCAGACCTAAACCCTATTGCGCATCTGTGGGGCATCCTCAAACAGAAGGTGGAGGAGCGTAAGGTCTCTAACATCCACCAGCTCCGTGATGTCGTCATGGAGGAGTGGAAGAGGACTCCAGTGGCAGCATGTAAAGCTCTGGTGAACTCCATGCTCAAGAGGGTTAAGGCAGTGCTGGAAAATAATGGTGGCCACACAAAATATTGACACTTTGGGCCCAATTTGGACATTGTCACTTAGGGGTGTACTCACTTTTGTTGCCAGCGCTTTAGACATTAATGGCTGTGTGTTGAGTTATTTTGAGGGGACAGCAAATTTACACTGTTATATAATCTGTACACTCACTACGTTACATTGTAGCAAAGTGTCATTTCTTCAGTGTTGTCACATGAAAAGATATAATAAAATATTTACAAAAATGTGAGGGGGGTTGTACTCACTTCTGTGAGATACTGTAGTTCATTGGCTCCAGTCTAAATTGGCCATAGTATGTACGCCTTGTAAGGTAGGGACATTCAGGGCAGGGACTCCATGATTTACTAAAGGTAAAAAGACTGTGCTCTTTGCAAGTCCTCAGTTTCCACAGAATTTAGTGAATGTGGCGAAGCTTCACTTTGCAAAGAATACCCAATCACATGCAAGGAAAATAAAAAAAAACAGCATTTTTGCTTGCACATGATTGGATGATGGACGTCAGCAGAGCTTTCTCTTGTTTAGTAAGCTCTGGAGCAAATTCCCTTTGCAGAGTACAACTGCACTTGCAAAGTCCACAGTCTATTTGCCTTTAGTTACATAGTTAGTCTGGCTGAAAAAGACAAAAGTCCATCTAGTTCAACCATAGAAAAAAAATAAGTTATAATCCTATACCCACAGTTGATCCAGGGAAGGCATATAAATAAGTTAAAAAAAAAACCCAGCGAAGCATGATCCAATTTGCTCCTGCAGGGACAAAAATTCCTTCCTGATCCCTTGAGAAGCAATCGGATATTCCCTGGATTAACTTTACCTATAAATGTTAGTATCCAGTTATATTCTGTATATCCAAGAAAAAATCCAGGCCTTTTTTAAAGCAATTCACTGAGCTGGCCAGAACCAACTCTTGAGGGAGTCTATTGCACATTTTCACAGCTATTACTGTGAAGAAACCTTTCCGTGTTTGGAGATTAAATTTCTTTTCCTCCAGACGTAAAGAGTGCCCCCTTGTCCTCTGTGATGACCTCAGGATGAATAACTCTACACCGAGTTCACTATATGAACCACCGATGTATTTATACATGTCGATCATATCCCCCCTTAATCTCCTCTTCTCAAGAGAGAATAAATTCAGTTCCTCTAATCTTTCCTCATAGCTGAGCTCCTCCATGCCTCTTATCAGTTTGGTTGCCCTTCTCTGTACTTTCTCCAGTTCCCCAATGTTCTTTTTGTGAATTGGTGCCCAAAACTGAACTGCATATTCCAGATGAGGTATTACTAATGATTTGTACCGGGGTACAATGATATCTCTCTCTCTGGAGTCTATACCTCTTTTAATACAAGAGAGGATTTTGCTCGCTTTAGAAAAACCGCAGCTTATCATTGCATGCCATTATTAAGCTTGTGATCTACCAGAACTCCCAGATCCTTCTCCACCATTGATTCCCCCAGTTGTACCCCCCCCCCTAGTATGTATGATGCATGCATACTCTTAGCCCCCAAGTACATAACCTTACATTTATCAACATTAAACCTCATTTGCCACATAGTTGCCCAATTAAACAGTGCATTGAGGTCGGCTTGTAAGTTGGAGACATCCTGTAAGGACGTTATTCCACTGCACAGCTTGGTGTCATCTGCAAAGACTGAAATGGGATTTAGAAAATCAACCCCCTTGGCTCCTTCAGGGCAGGGACTGATATGATCATGTAGACTGGGGTTAGCACCAATTTTAGTCAGGTCCCTCCCCTGAGTGGATCTGGTTGGTGGAGTTGGAAATCCCAATATATCTGGTCGAATTGCACTTTTGCAGTGTTATAATGTGCATGTTACAACAAAATGTTAACAGCTCTGACACACAGGTAGTGCACAAATGATCATTGTGGTGCACTGTGTCAGAAAAATTGCAGCATGTATGTTTTTCTGTCTGTTCCTGTGCATTGGCAGCCTATTTCGATTGAATGGGCTGCCGTAATACAATGCAAGTTACTGTGTGACACAATGCATACTAACGCACGTGTGTTAACGCAATGCACAAGAACAACAAAGTGTGAATGAGCCCTTCACATATCACATGTTAACTTTCCCTTTGCCTCCTGTGTGTGAAAAACAGTGTGAATGGGTAAATCTAGGATCTATCATTAAAGCGAGACTTCACCCAAAAGAGGATTTCTGCCCTCCTCCCCCCTACTCTACCACATTTGGAACATTTTATTGGGGGTGGGGGGAGCAGGGACCTGGTTTTGATACCCACTCTCACCTCCACTTGGATCACCTAGGTGATCCAAACAGAGATTCGTCCCCCCCCCCCCCTTCAGTTGCAGCTTTCTGGGATATGTCACAGGTCCCAGAAGGCTGCAGGACCATTCACAAAGCGCAGCGTGGTTCGCGCATGCACATGAAGAAGCCAGCTGTGAAGTTGCAAGCTATCACAGTCGGCTTCCCACACTAAAGATGCCGACAGAACAGCCCTGGACACCTGGACAGGTAAGTGTCCTTTTACTAAAAGTCAGCCGCTTTAGGATTTGTAGCTGATGACTTTTAATTTTTTTTTTCTAGCGCAAAGAACCTCTTTAAAAGTGCAGATAATTTATTAG